AAGAAGTTACCATTAAAGCCATCAGGGCCAGCTGCACTGTTAGGGTTCAAATCCCAAACTGCCTGTTTAATTTCCTCTTCATCTGGTATCCTACACATGAAATTATTGTCCTCAAGGCTAATTAAGTTAGGGATATGATCAAGGATATGACCAGGATCAATGTTCTTGGAGGCACTGAACACCTCCTTAAAATAAACCTCTGCCTCCTTTTTAATAGCCTCTACCTCCAAAGTCTTCTTTCCATTTCCATCCAAAATGCTTGTGATCTTCAGTGCGCTTCTTCTTCTGCCTTTCACATATGAATGGAAGTAAGAAGTGCTTTGATCACCTAGTTCCATCCATTTAATGTGTGCCTTTTGCTTCCAGTATTGGGTTTCTGTATTGGTAGTTTCAATAAGCTCAGCATTTGCTTTGTTGGCTAGAGTTCTTAGTTCATCTCTTGGGTTGCCTTCAAAATCTTCCTGCGCTTTCATTGCTTTGCTTTCTGCATCCTTGACCGCCTGAAAGATGTCTCCAAATGTCTCTTTACTCCAGGCTTTAAGAATAGGTTTGAGCCCTCTTAGTTTTGTAGCAAGGCCTTTCATCCCTCCAGTCATGGGCTGATTAACCCAATATTCTTTCACCACCCTGAAGAAACAGTGGTGATTGAACCAGAAATCTTGACTTCTGAAAGGTTTGGCCCCAGTGTAGTTATCTATGGTGCATAGGAGAATTAGAGCCTTGTGATCAGTACAAGAAAGACCAACAATGAACAGAGAGGATAGAGGACGCCGTAAGAGGATAGTGTAAATAATATATACATAGGTAGTTACTGCATTTTTTAACCATTAATAAAAGAATGATCAAAACAAAAAAAAAGTTTCAAAGTAATAGAGGCAAGCGTGTAAGTATAACAGTTTAGCATAACAATAAATTTTTGAATAACTTCTACTAAAATATAGTAGGAAGAACACATAAACTTGGAGAAGGGGATAATGAAAAGAAACTTAAATCAATAAATCTATTCGTAGGAAAAAAACTTAGTTTTCTCACACCAAGTAGATCAAGCTAGTAGTCTAGAAGAAAGGATAAAAAGGAAAAAACATATTCATAGAAAAGGAAACATCAGACTTGTGTTTAGTATGATTATCTTATTGAAAGAAAAGGAGAAAAAACCAAGAATGCGTTTTTGTGGACTTTCTCACATAATTTTTTTTAAAAAAACAAATGCTTATTTTAGTAAAGAAATGCTTATTTTGCTCAATTGTAGGTCCATGGTGGAAGAATTTGCCAAAAACCAAAGATATTGCCTAATTCCACATCAAATCTTGAATTACTTTATGAAGCAATTTGGGATGAAGGGAGAAGAAGCTCAAGACCATTTGGACTCCGTAATTTCAATAAAAAAATGAAATTAGAATATATTCCGAAATTGATAATTTTAATCTGCACTTAATTGACATCCATTTGAAAACCAAGAAATAAACCCCAATTTGAGAAATGGTAACAATAAAACATCACTATATAAAAATATCATTGATCAAACATCAAATATTCACAAATCCAAGAAATCAAATACGAACAGATTATCAAACCCTAAAAATAAGAAATCAATGAATAGAAAAAAGAAAGCATTAGGAAGCACTGATTACATACCCCGAAATCCCAAATTGATAGCGGGCTCTAGTGTACCGCACGTACTACACCGTGATTGACCCGGGCTGGTGGTGCTTTAAGTTCCAACAGATGGGGGATTGATGAGGGGGGAGGACACCGCATAACTGAGAATAGCACTAGGTCCGTAGCAGGGCACGCTTATGATCAGAATCGGAAAATTGATATATTCTTTGCTGGTTGTTGGCGTGTGTCTCTATGCACTGGGCAGATCACGAAGAAAGGGAAATATGTGAAAAAAAGTGGCAAAAGCATCGCTCCTCTCTGTCTCAGTCTCGGATCACGAAGAAAGGGAAATATGTGGAAAAAAGTGGCAAAACCTCACTCCCCTAGAGAAGTTAACTTTAAACGGACGAAATCACGGAAAAATGACTACCCTAACAAGATAGGCCCTTATTATATAAGGGTATATATATATATATATATATATATATATATATATATATATATATATATATATATATATATATATATATATATATATGTATGTATGTATGTATGTATGTATGTATGTATGTATGTATGTATGTATGTATGTATGTATGTATGTATGTATGTATGTATGTCTGTATGTGTGTGTGTGTGTGTGTGTGTGTGTGTGTGTGTATGTATGTATTTATATAAAATATGCTTAAACCATTATTCAACCAGTGAACCAGTACCTCGACCAGTTTGATCACCAATCTAGTTTTTTAAAATATGCTTTGTTTCTTTATCTAATTTAAATTGTCTGTTTTGACTACACTTCTTTTAGGGGCCCTAATCGCGATATCATTGATGAGATTAAACATAAGTGACAAAGAAAGTTTACAAGGATTGAGTTCAAAAACATCTTTCGAGAGCAAAACTTTACGGCTGACCGCCTTGCTAAAATTGGAACCTTCCAGGAGGCGAATTGGATTGACCACGAAGACCCTCCGCCTAGGATGGAAGACATCATTTCTAATGCTGTGATGGGTGCTACTAAAGTTCATAAAGTGCATCTGAGTTAGTGTGGGGTCTCTCCTCCCTTCCGATTTAAAACCATGAAAAATAGTAAAATTTACATATTAAAAACTACATCAAAAATTTCACGAAACAATAGATGATATGACTATTTTATTTATCAAAAGATTAATGGAAATAGAAAAATAAAATAGATAAAATTTGACCATGTGAATAGTAAACAAGTAATTTATTTTGGGACGAAGGGAGTAATTTTTTTTCATTCTCTTCAGATGCATTCCGTTCATTTTACTTGTACAGACGGCACCTCCTAATGCACTAGCCGATCACGGAATAACGTAAGAGTTAGCTTCATGTCTCTTTTTCTTCCTCACTCCCATTATATAAGGAACACATCCTACCTCATTCTTTCACCATTTTCCTTCAAAATTATTCTAAGAGGTAGCTTTGAGTGTAGAGAGTTCATTTGTGTTGTCCTTATAGTAAGAGGTCGCTGGACCTAGCCACAATCCTAGTTAGAAGTTTCACCAGGATTTTCTCAAAACCTCCATTTTTGCCCGAGGTAAGCCCTTAGATATATCTAGTGATTAGAATGTTCGTATATGTAATGCTCCGAAACCCGGGTTAGTATTTTTAATTAATTTATATAATTAATCAATTACTGAGTTGGTCAATACGAAGATTATTTTCTAATTTGTGTATTTTATTTGAGAGT